CTCGTGTCTCCCTGGGGCTCCTTTTCAATTTAAATGGGCTTGTTTGTTACTATCAAAATTATATATATTCAGACACTAATCGTTAGTCTATGGATTTTCCAATATAATGGAAATACTAATATTGACCAAATAAAATTCTAAAGGAGCCTTTCTTCAAGCAGTGACTTAACGCCATACATAGCTAGACTTGCTTAGATGATAGACTTCATATAAGGCATCACAGATATTTCACAAACATGGTACAGGACCCTTAGCCTCATTAGCTTATTGCCTCACCACTTGCGAATTAAGCGTTGGCAGATGTAAATGTTACTGGAGATGTTGGTCCCGCCAGCTGTGGGTGTTTGGTATGGCACTCCATAACTCGAACCCTGCAGTGAGTTTTCCTAGAGACGGAAGGGGAGAAAATATCGTTCTGTGACTATGGAAAACCAAAAATGTGGACAACAAACCATTGTTTGGGTCTTTTAATTGTAAATATGATTCAAATAGCTTAACCTAGATTTCAATATCCTCCGAATGTACATTTGGTGGAAAATATACATTTATCCCGAGCCAAGAACGAATGTTTATATATAATTAAAAAATGTAACAGCACTAGTATCCATTTTGTCTTTTGTCTTCTACCCGTCAGAACTAGATTAACAACTAGTCTCTGATATGAACATATTTTACAGAAAAAAAGTTCATAGTAAAAAAAAAATATTATATAAGGAAAACGAGCCCTGAGACTTTCTCCTGAAGCTGTGGAATCTAGACTTGCCACATTTTGTAGACTTGCGTGGGCTTGGATATATTTGCTTCAGGGTCTGTATGACAGACGACGTCCCAACATACGCTCAATCACATGTGTCTCCAGGTCACGGAGAATCAGTGGTTAGAGGCCCGTATTGCAATTCTCGTGCGTTTGCCAGGCACGTAGCAAGCCAATTTTTTCGTGTAAGCCCTATGGGCTGCAAAGCCTTATATTTAGGTGGTATTGAGGGCTTGCCCGGAAAGACTTCCGCATGTATTCCCCCTTAAATTTCATTCTAGTCAAATCATATGACCTGAATATATATTCCTCATCCGATAAGGATGAGTTTTAACGTGTTTTGTTGATTGTATTTGAACATACTGAAAGACATATTCTACTACTAAAAATGCCACTTAAAGAAAGTTTTCCTCATCGTTAAAATTTAAGGGGGGGGTGATACGGACGGAAGTCTTACCACCATGGAAATTGAAATGTGATTTCCTCATATACAAATATGTTTGGACATATTTTATACATGTCTGCTGCATTGATACAATACCATACATCGAGTATTTGGTGTTTTTTCTAAAATAATTGATAAACCAATGATAAATAAACAACTGCATTTCAGTGATGATTCACATATAATCATGACTGTAACAAAACATCCTCATACATGTCGATGGAAAAACAATCATCACTGAAAGCTATGATATGAAGAATAACCTGTTTACTGTACATGGTAATGCTTTAATCAAAGAATATTGTAGTCAGTATGATACATAGAGGGATTTCCACTTTTTAAATGGAACGTATTTGTAGGTATTTTTGGCAAGAATTAGAAGAAAAATTATTTTTTAGCAAAGATCATGTGTACGCTCGAGCTGTTTTTTTATAATGGTAGCTAGTCCCTGTTTGCATGTGTTGTTGACGCGGCATGGACGCCTTGTAACATCACTATTTGATTATGATTCACAAACACATGCCCATGATATGGTCGGAATCGTGCCAAGGATTAGCAGATACTTATCATGAAAACAGGGTTTTTATGTAGGTGGCTTGAAACTCGCTTTTACAAAGGCCTATAGGTTCGATCACAATACATTTCGTTTTACAGCTTCTCTTTTCTTAACATGCTCACGTCAAAACTGATTTAAATTCTAATCGCAGATTAAAGAATAACACAATAAATAGTATGCCAAATTATCGTTACCATGACAACCCTGTGATATTTCACCTTATGTAAGAGAGTAATGCAGATGATACTGTCGGCTGTAAATTTTGATAAGTTGCTTCATCGCTATCAATAAACACTGGGTATCTATACAATTATATGTGTGATCAAAGGCCATATGATAGATTATGTGGTCTCTGGTGTGATGGAGGAGAACTTGCATCGCTAGTTTTCTCGATAATCTGAACACATGTATGTAGCGTGAAACCGGCAGATACTTTAGAAGAAAGTGTTTGCCCTACCTGTAACAACGATGTCCCGTGTCTATAAAAGGGATATAATGTGGGGATGAATTACATGTACTTTTATCTTGGCCCGTTTATGATGATACATACTGCGATCTTTCACAATAATCCCTCTATCAGATTGAGGGTACGTTTTAAACATAACCGGTATTTCTATTATTGTATTTATAAAGTTCTTCGAACGTTCTCCATATACGGCCGTCAGATACATCGCGCACTACCCTTTTCTCTTTTGATCTTCTCAAACGACTGTTACAAGTTCGAAGAATCCTGGTCAAAGTAGAAAAGTCTTAAGACTATTCCCTACAATTCTGTAACTTACACATTGTACCCTAAATGGGTAGAGCTTTCGTTCAGGGGAATATCAGTTATTTCCAATGTTGTAGAAAGCTCTCCACTTACTTAGGAAAACACTGAGATATTGTATTCATGTCGGAATGATATTTTCAGCCCCTGTCAGATCTGAACTTGAACATGCGAGGTCTGCGTCTGTGTCAGACTAAAGGCCTACAAGATGTTTAGCAACACTGGCGTGTAATAGCCATAGATCTTCTCCAAACAAGGGAATATATATCTTGTGAGAATGACTTCTCCGACAGGGAAATTTACAGCAATGCGACATCACAATTACTTACGTGATATTTACTCGCAATCTGAGTTATGGATCGTCAATTTAAACAGGAAAATATAGACGAATTTCACAAAAGGCACCGAGATCCAACATGCCGATGATATACTCAGAGAACGCACCCGCCTGTGCTATCCGGTCATAATCGCTACACGATAAAACAATTTTTCATTTCATGTCTCACAGAATATATAATTTGATATGGCATTGTTTGTTATCGTATACTTTTGCGTTAGTGAAACAAATGTGGACAACTTTAAAGTTTATGTATGGCGTTATTACAGCAAAGGCTGAGCGAATGGAGAAATAACATTGTTCAGGCACTGTGAGACTATTAAGGAAGGTCACATGCAGTGCAATAATATTCCAATTATGTACTGCCACAAAATATTTTACAGTAGTGATGCGCGAGCTGAACAGACTTAAGAAATTACGAGTTGATTCGTGTAGCATATTTGGCTGTGCTCCAAGAGAGACAAAGTGCTATTCTATTGGGACAGCTAGGGACACTTGCAAGGACAAAGGGACAACGCATCGCCCTTTGTTCACCACTGAACATTTTAATCCCTCGATACATGCACCTCACAAGATTTGCCAACACCACGGACAAGGCGTAACTGATACTGGTAGCAAGAGCGAGTGCAGCTTGATAAGGCGTGTTATCTTGCGTAATACTGCTTTCTTTGTCAGGCTCTTTTGGTGATAAGAATATTGAGGTCATGTGAACTTTGATTTCAAACGTATTAAAATGTGTGAAAATGAAATTACATGAACCAAGTAATTCACATGATGAATATATATGATCATTTTGCTTGAGTACAGGTAACATGAAGGTGTATGAACCGTTCATATACATACCCCTGAAATCAGGTATGATACATAAATATCTAAGGTGTGTAAATATTTGCAAATTTGAAAATTTACATATGTTTCCCCACCTAAGTAAATTCACATGTTTCCAACCCGAGTAAACTTAGAACGAAATCGGAAATTTCAGCACCCATTGAAATTCAAAGGAATGCATTGGAAATACTATATGATCATGTATTTACCGGGGTATCTGTTTTGCAATTCATGTTTGGAAATCCCTGACAATCCGGTCAGGGCATACATGAACGAGGTGCTTGTGCATACGAAAATGAACGATGAGCATATGTTTCAAAGGTATAGATTCATATGAAATATATGCCCGAAGTTAGGAAATATCTGAAAACATACGTAAATCCGGTCATGGCATGTATTTCCTACTGTATTTACGTATATTTCAATGGTTTACTATCCGGCTTTTGGTCCTGTATAGGCTACCCCACCGCCCCGAATTGCATCGGACATTATGGTGTCAATCTTGATTTGGACGGTTTTCAGGAAAGTAGACAAATCACTCTGTAGACCTTTTAATTTTTACAATTATCTTGCATCACACAGTTGTTAATGTTTGTTTCTAGCCGGTTTGTTTTGGTTGAAAATGAAAATCGTACACATGCAAATGTCACCAATTATCTTTCAAGAGTGATTACTGTACAAACAATTATGGTCACAAGGAAGTGCAAGTGGTGATGCACTCTCAAAACATTCATTATTATCATATCAACATTGATTGACTCCGATGTACCTCCCATTTTTCAGTCGTAAATTAAAAATGAAGTTCCCCGATATGTTTTTAACAGTACATATGAACACTTGCTTCTGAATCGTACAGTCAGCTCTACATTCAGCAGAGATTTCTTGAGGGGTTTGGCGCAGTTTGTTCCGTTTTATTATGAGTGTGAGTTTTAGGGTAACACTGCTCTATTTCATGCTACTTTTCAATCATATTGGTCTGGTTTCACACAGTGTGCCTGTGTGATGAATCTATCGAGGCTCTCCTTGGTAACCACACCACCCTGAAAACCTGTAACCAGATATCTAAATGAATAAGAACAGCGTTGTATAGGTGTCATACGTACAATCCCCTATCCTCCCTACTCCACCAGAAGACACTCCCAACCTCCACTCAGTAACTCACCCTCACTCACACACACGAAAGAAACTACCCAAAACAAAACAACACAAAGTAAAACAAACAAGAAAGCAAAATAATATACATTGTATATGTATAGGCCTACATTTTTAAAAGCATTAACCACTTAGCACTTGCTCAACTGTTTTGTGTTGCAGGTTCAATCTGTCTGGATTACCATGGCGGCAGTGTGGCTTGTGGTGCCCCTCTTGACAATAACCTCCGCAGTGCTATCAAGCAATGGTGCTCTGACACAGCGACCTGGAAAGAGAACCGAAAACAGCCACCTTTACAATGTCTCGCAACGAACGCAAGTCGGGAATATCATAAAAGCGTGGACAGAGGAGAACAAAGGGCCGAGAGAATATCACGGCAATAGATTCCGTTCGTCATCAGATTTAACAAGGAACAGGGTGAGAACATTAAAAGAGAAAAGGATAAAATCAAACGATAAAGCAAACACCGTAAACAAAAGAAATGAATTCACTGAACGACCTCCATTTGAGAAGCTGGGTAAGACTTCAAGTTCAGTCTACCTTGCTGATACTGCAGAGGTATCCTCTAAAGATTGGCAAGATAGCGGCCGTCGACCAATACTCAGGAAGAGAGCAAACAGGAAGATCCCGGTTCTCCATGGCGTGAGGAGAACGCCTCCTCCAGTGAACACTACTGCTTCAACTGCTGTTGGGATCAGTGTTGCATCAGATGTTTGCAATATGAGTCACAAAGGCCTACGATCAGTTCCCCCTGTTTCAAGTTGCACGATCCTTGATCTCAGTCACAACAGGATCAGTGGCATCACAAATACCTCTTTCCCTGTGCCACACCATGAAATTAAAATTCTGGTGTTGAGCAACAACTTAATCAGCAGTCTTGACATAGGTGCTTTCGTGAATACGTCCTCATTACGGACCCTCGATCTCAGCAACAACTACCTATCTTCAGCAGAGTTCTTCCCAGAGTTCGTCTTCAGACCAATACCAAATCTCATTACCCTTTACCTCCACGGTAACATGGACTCATCCCCGACTAATAATGCCGAGTACCCGGACAGAGCTTTATCATGGCTAAAACTGCTAAAGAACCTTACTCTGGATGGCTATGAAAATCTTGCACTTGGGCCTGGTTTCAAGCATCTGACATCTCTACAGTACCTGGCTTTTGGGCAAAATGGGAATTCGTGCTACACAACTGCTCTTTATAATGACACCTTTCGCAATATTGTAGGGCGGCTTATAGGTTTGAATATGTCATACTGCAACTTGCAAACAATTCAAAACGGCTCCTTCTTGGCGTTTACCAAGCTTTTGTATGTTGATTTTAGCCACAACAGTAATTTGAAAATGAATATGGTATTTGGTGCAGTTTTAAAACACCAACTGAATTATTTGGGATTAGAAAGTATCAAACAAATTAATACCAGTATAACAGTATCCAGTTCTTATCATTTACCTTGCATAGTGGACCTTGATTTATCTAACAATAGTATAGTTTATATGGACCCTGTGTTTATAAGCAAAATCTTAGCACCCTGTTTGACAACATTGTCTCTTCACGGTAACGCTCTGAACAGTTCTCAGAGCACCATGGCTCTTCTAACAGCTCTTAGTAAGGTTAGGTATCTTTACTATCTGGATTTTTCGTCTCAAAGAAATTCGTCCAAATCATACATTACGAGTAAAGGAGACAAACGTTTCTATTCAACAAAAGTATCATGTACAATGAGAAGAAGTTAGTAATTCCGAATTCATTATATTTTGCTAACTTCAGTAATTCCTACACTGAATCTGAATCTGAATTTTACGGAACTTATACCTTCGTCGGAGCCAAAGGACTGAGGATCCTGGATGTTTCCAGCAACCCTTTCAACTGTAGAAGTCAAATTGTAGGACTTGAGTACCTTCTTTCTCTGAACATGTCTCAGTCAAACTGCTACAGAGTAAATATGAAACTGTTTGAAACGTTCACTAGCCTCCAAGAGCTGAGACTTGATCATTCACATCTAGATGTTGGCTTTCAGGACGTAAAGCATAATACACTATTTGCTCCTCTAACAAGTCTAAAATCCGTTTCCATGTCACAGAACAATTTGGAGACTCTTCCTGAAGACCTTTTCGCGCGTAACCAGCATCTCTCTGTTATAAACCTATCGGGAAACAAATTAACATCCATTCCTATGGCGTGGTTAAATCTATCGGTCCTCACTGAAATCGATTTTTCCAACAACAACATCAAAGTTATTGGACCAACAGTCAGGAAACAACTTGAATTGTTAGCTACGAAGAGGCCCATCAAACTACACCTCAGAGGCAACAAATTGTCCTGTGCTTGCAGTGACCTCGATTTTGTCAAATGGATAATATCAACCAAGGTAATCCTTGACAAGGAGCATGGTTATGATTGCAAAATGCCCAATGGCTCCATCTTAAATATACAGTTACGTAACAGCGCGTTGACAGATTTGGAACTGATTTGTATGGAGCCAATGTTGAAGATAATCATGATATGTGTCGCTGCTCCACTCATCGTAGGAGTGTTTCTTGGGTCCCTTTGTTACAAAAATCGATGGACTCTGAAGTACATATGGCTCAAAATGAAAATGAAATGGGGTGTGTATGTCCCCCTAATTGAACCAACTGAAGGTGTAAAGTACGATTTGTTTGTTTGCTATAGTCACCATGAAACTGAATGGCTAATACTGACCCTCCTCGCGAAGCTTGAGACAGAACTCGGTTTCAAGCTTGCCTTCTATGACCGCGATTTTCTCCCAGGAAGTTTGATAAGAACCCAGATTGTGGAGACACTGCATGCGAGTCGAGCATCTTTGTTCGTTATCACCGAGAGCTACCTGCAGTCTTCCTACTGTGAATTCGAGTTTCAAATGGTGGCACTAAGGTCTCTCGAAAAACTTAGCCATAAGATATTCGTCATCATCAAGGACGATATTCCAGTACATAGGCTTCCCTTCTTCCTCCAGAACATGTGGAACAGGGTCGTGTGTCTCCCATGGACTGATGATGAGTTTGGACAGGCTGAACTGTGGAGAAAGCTGGACACAGCACTTAAGAAGAACAGACCTCCAGTTTTGGAAGAGGAAACACCAGATGCTTCCGCGGATGAGGAACAAGGGATGGCTTGTGGGGTCCAGCAGGAAACTGGACCGGCAGGGCGCTCGTCTCCTGTTATGGACTTGAATTCCCTTACCAGTGAGCTGTGGCATGAGGTTATGATGGAACAAGCTGAAAGACAACCTAATTCACATGACATTAGGGAGTGAGTGACTTGGGTTTTTTTCCTCGTTTTAGGTAACGGGAGGGGAAGCTTGGTTATTCGTCTCGTTCATGATTATTTTCACTTCTAAAGCACTATTTTGTGTGCATGCAAGCATGTTTGTGTGTGCCTTTACGGAGAGTTTACAAACCTTAATGTAATTACTGGTGGGTTGATCAATATGCATGTAATGCCGGATTGTATGCCTTTGTATTCTTGTATTCCATGTTGAGTCAGACAGAGCCTGCGGATTTAACAGGTAACAGTGTCAAGTTATGCTTTAATGAGATGACCCATGAAGATCCGGTTTAGAATTGGTCTTCGAACCCATGCTTGTTGTAAGTGGCGACTAACGGGATCGGGTGGTCAGACTCTCTGGCCTTATTGACACATGTCACAGTATCCCAATTTCGTAGATCGATGCTCATGATGATCACTGGATTGTCTGGTCCAGACTCGATTATTTACAGACCGCCGCCATATCGCTGGAATATTGTGGAGTGCGGCGTTAAACAGCAAACGAACAAAACTTTGGATTGTGATTGCGGACATGTAAATATTTGAGGAATTCGTGTGTATGTGTGTGTGCCTGCGGGCGGGTGGGCATGCGTGCGTGCGTGCGTGTGAGGGAAATGGAGCACTGACGATATCCAAGTGGGGAAGGGTGTCACTGCTTCAGGTGAACTTCTAACTGCCTTATAGCCTTCACGGTTACACCTTATCATCAGGTAGGACTGACTCAACCTAACCATCTTTATATATTACATAAGAGCTTAAAGCCATATGTGTTCATGAGAATATACTTGAGAAATAAACTGTTGTTCTCACGTCGTGACAAACATATTGAACTCGGAGAGGTTTTATTGTCAATTAATATAACCGCCAAAACAAATCACATTCATGGGAGACAGAAATTCTAAAAATAATAATAAGAGTGAGTGAGTTCAGTTTTAGGCCGCTTTTAGCAATATCCCAGCAATATCACGCCGGGGACACCAGCAATGGGCTCCACACATTGTATCATGTTAAGGCCGGGACAGATAGTGACTTCACCAGAACTTTTGCGTTAATCTGTCTAACATAACACAAGGTTAGAGACATAACTCTACTTGTGAGCCAAACTGAGACGCTTTCACCGTTGGGCTAAGCAAGCTTAGGACATTGAAGAAGGATAAAGAAAACCCGTAAAGATCCGGGATAGAAATGCTTCTGAGTCAACCCATACTTGTCGTAAGAATATACTATCGGGATCAGATGATCAGGTTCTCTGGCTTGGTTGATGCTTGTCATCGTATCACACTGATTTGGTTCAGACTCAATTATACTGGACAAAATAAGTTAGGAATATTGGTATTTTTGCGATTAATATTTTATCAGAGTGTCAATGAATAAATAGATCATTATTCATAATTTCAAAATTTACATATATCCCTAACTAATTTTGTCCAATATATTTACAACCGTCGTCAAATAGGTGGAATATTACTCGCAGACAAATGAAGGAGATAGATAGCTGTTTAGCAAAGAACAAACACACACACCAGAAAACAACAGATGATGTCACAGGTTTGTAATCCTATCCAGCATCTATGTAACTGATTCCATACACGATATGGGATAGCGGGGTAGCCTTGTGGTTACGGGGCAGGCTCGAATTTGATTCCTCCAGGGGTACAATGTTTGATGCCCATTTCTTCTATATAACGTGGGTCATATTGATCTTATTAGTTTGAAGTAATGACGTTTCCAGAAAATTACCTTCACTTAACCCATGCCTCCGGTGGAGACACACATTTTAAGTGTACCTAAGCAATGTCTCGGCATTACAGACTTATAATTCAACACGTGACATTAGTATAGAATCTACTCTCTTCAACTCACTATTAGCATCTCAGTGTACATCAACTCATCTATTGTATAAACTCATTCTGCATATTGTTTTAATCACTATCACTCTGTACATCAACCTGCTCAAATCTCTAGTTAGCAATCCAATGTATATCAACCTTGTCAATTGTTTATATATATACTCACTATGCAGCTATATGTGTACATGTATTCTCCTTGTTACAACTCTTTGTATCACTTGCTTGATAACGGTGTTAGTACCTACACCGAAACGTCGCAATCACTGCAATAAAGAAGTTGACTATCCATAGAACTTGGTTTTCCATTCAATTATTGGATCAGCGATCGTCTTAACGCTGAAGATCGCTTTGTAGGTCGGTGCCCAAGTAAACAAGCATTTTGAAATGAGAGATAACAAAGTATTGAAGCAGCACCATCTACTTATGCCCCGTATATAAAACATACTTTTACCTAATCATATACTTCCCATAAAATTTTAGACTCACTTTTATTGAACTCATGACAATAATCTTTTCAACGTTGCGAATGTGTTTTACAATACATCAGTTCATGTGTAAACAGTACCTTTAAACAGCATGGGATATTTTGCAACATTTAGTTTAGAACAGTTGACTAAAGTAAGTGGCTATATTTACACTAGTGAGTCTAAACTTTTGATGGGAAATATATATTTGCACGTTCGTACTCCAATGATAGCTACGTAGATTTCAAGACAACTGAAATAATTGTGGACACAACACATCATCTAAAACAGTGTTGTGATGCTGAATGGATTTTGTTATAAAATCAACCTCAGCATTATAGCGCAGTCTCTCTCCCAGACCCGGCAAAGAGAACATATTTTCAAAAGGAGTCCAACTCAAGTCTAGAAAGATTTCGCGACTTCAGCTCTTGGAAATTAAGCGTTGTTCTGCGCTCCGCTTGGATTGATTTGCAGAAAAGAAAAAAGAATTAGATAACTACATTTCTGAAGCTACAGTGCTGCGCAGTTACATTTGACACAGTTCATCACTATTGCTGTTTGAAATGTGAAACGAACGACCTTGATGCAACGTCACCAAAAACTCCGTGATGCGTGGTGAATCATAACTCACTTGTCCTGGGGGTCATATCAAAACCGTACTGGTAGCCTATAGTGTAGTGTCTCGCATGGTCCTCCGTAGACAAGCAAGTAAGAGACTGCCATATTATAAACTGGTATAACTTTGATTCGTTTAAAGTTGTTTCAGCAATTTGTCAATATCATTGTCTTAAACAGTTGTATTATAATATACAAATATTAGAAAGTGTTGACGTCAAACATACCATCCAAGAAAGGATTTGTATGTAAAGCACAACATCAAAACACATCCAACAGACGTGCGTTGAGTGTCATTCCTGATATTGACACTTTCGAGGAAGGTCGATTAATATTTGTGAATATTTTTTCTGTCAGTCAGCGTCCGCTTATCATACTATTGTGATTTCCTTGATTTAGTTGATAATACGGGTAAAGCAGGGCTGTTCGGTACACAGCGGCAGAACCGTCTCTTGGTATGATGTGGCCGTGGATCGAAGCACCGACTTTCCGTTCTTCAGGTATACGTTCTATATTAGCTAGACCACTGATGCTGTCTTGTACAGTATGAAGGTTAGATTTGGTTCGATATGACTGAATAACGCTGTAACTGACGTACAACGGCCTCGGCTCTGTAAGACCCAGTGAAGAGTTTAATAAGATGACACTGCAAAAATGAGATACAATATTCCTCTACTGCATCGTCACCGTCACCGTCGCCGTAACGTTGGAAAGGATATACATGTACATGTAGTTAGAAACATTAAGATCCGGGTTACTATTGCTCTCCAGCAAATTGTGGTTGTTGCGAGAGGCTACTAACGGGATCGGATTGTTATTACTGCCTTGACCGAATGCATGCTATTTAATCCCAACAGCTTGGCTAATGTTCTTGACGTCAGTCACGGGTTTGTCAATAATATAATTTTGTGTGTGTGTGTGCGTGCGTGCGTGCGTGTGTGTGTGTGTGTGTGTGTGTGTTTTATATAGTCATAGCCTCGCGTCTGTCCACCCGCCCGTATACGTAATCATTTCGTTTCCGGAAAATAACTAAAAAAAGTTCAATATTTTTCAACACTAATTGGTATATATATCAAACAGAACCTAAACTGGTGCCTTTTGCTGTTTACAGATGTGTGGCATTTTTATTTACCTTGATTCCGATGGAAATAATTTGGACTTAGTCTAAAAAATCAAGTTGGATTTTAAGTAACTGTCAGATGATTTGTTCCTCCAAATTTATGGGGGCCCAGGGGATTTGTCATCTTCTAATGACTCTTGTCTCCAGACATCTGTCCTATAGCTTGAGTAATACAGACCACGGAGTTTAACAACAAACAAACGAATGATAAGGTGAGGTGAGGTGAGGTGAGGTGAAATTGGGTTTTACGTCGTACTTGAGAATATTTCGCTCATATGACGACGTGCATGCGTGTGTATGTGTATGTGCGGCTGCTTGTACTAGCCCAGACTGAAGCTGGTTTTATAGTGCTAGCCCACTGAGATACCATGCCGCAGTGAAGCATGAATACCCCACTCAGACACATTATACTGACTCCGAGCCGACCAGTCCTTATTGTACCCATTAATGCCGAACGCCAGGCAGGGACCAACAAGTACCATATTTTAACGTCTTTTGGTATGACGCGGTCGGGGATCGAACCCGCGACCTTCCGCTCTCCGGGCGGACGCTCTAACCACTACACCACGGAGGCGGTCCAAACGAATGATAATATTTTCTCTGAACACTTCCATCGGTCAAGTCAATGCCTTTTACAAAAGATTAAATACGTGACCCGTTGCATAATATACAAACCAACCCAAAACGGTGTTATAATCGGATGATCAGCCTTAGTGGTTTGGTTGATCTGCAGTTGATTTAAATTCTTATCATAACATATAATGAACACGATCCTGAAGAGAGAGGTTTGTCAGGTAAGTCTCCTGTTTTGGCAACTGGAGATTTCTAATAATGAAACAACGAAAACGTTTGAATCATAATGAAATGTATTATATAATCGAAAATAGAGCCTTCCATCTAAATATTCACTGCTGGAATTTCACATCATATTGAAATGAACATCAGTCATTACTGTATTGTTTTTAACAATCGCAAATGAAGTGATAAAACAGTCACCTGTCCAACTCGTGCACACATGCACTGCTGTAGGCACTATCAGCCACCATCTATGACATGTCCATGTTTGTGTTGTTACTGTTAGGGGCGGAGGGTAGCCTAGTGGGTTGGGTCGTCACGCCGAAGACCCGGGTTCGAATCCCCACATGGGTACAATGTTCTGGTGTGCCCCGCCGACACCAAACTCAGTCAGTCA